TTTTTTGCACATTTATGTATTCTCCTTACGTCACAGGGAAGAATACCGGCCGAGTCAGTGGTGATGTGTATGAGAATGTGTCTGAAGTGTTAAATACTGCAGCTGATGGCTTTCCAATGTGTCAGCTTCAACTTGAAGCTTGAGCCTTTTATGGCTCAGCCACGCCTCGGGTAAGGCTTCGCTTTGTTGCGTTCCCAAAGAGGAAGAAAAGTGAAAAATAAAGCATAAAACATCCTTTTTTACTAATCTCATCACGGTTGCGTCGGGAGGCGACCAAAGCTGGATCAGCCTTTTGTGCACAAAGGCTTGTAGCATTGTTTGCTACACAATGCCGGGTATTGTGCGGCGTTCAACTGCAGCGTTGCTGAGAGAATCCTCCCAGCGAGTGGCAACAATGGCGATACACATGGCTGATCTGATTGCAGTGCGGGAGCGCTCGCTTCCAACTGTAATGCTGGAAAACAGATCATGTAGCCGCAGCTCTTATCTCGCTGATGGATGCTGACAGCCAACACAGCCTCTCTGTGCTTCATTGCTTTTTCTCTTCCACCTCATAATTTTTTACTTTCTCTTCCCCACCTTTCCCCCACCCGTCGCTCTGTTCTTTTCTCATTATTTCCCTCACTTACGCCCCCACCTGCGTTCACACCTTGAAGGCAAGAGTGTCTTAAATGTTCTGACTTCGTTGATGAATTCTCTTCTTCTCCCTATTGTCTTTGACATAACTTTTTATCTGACATGCACTGCAGAAGTCCCGTCTCCGGCTCATCTCACGCATTATTTCACCGCGGTCCTGATTCCATACTTTTCAGTTTTTCAACAGTCTCCATCACCTTGCTCTTGTATCCACACCCCTCATTCTCTAATCAGTGCTGTCACCGCAGGCTTAAAAGCAGCTCTAAAAGGAGCACGCTGCTTCCACTGCCTGATCTTGAGAAAGATAGCTGATCCCACTGATGCTATTTTAAGCCTGTCATGCATACTTTCCCTCCTCTTCCTCACCACTGAGAACTGGCAGCCACACAGCAGAGAAAGCAGGGAGACATGAAAGATGCATTCTCTTTCTTACAACCAGACTTTCTCCTCCTGATTTTGACTTTGAAATCAACATAATTAACTGGACTGTCAGGGGACAAGTAGATCTGAGAGAGAGAGAGAGCGGACAGATTTCTCTCACTGTGCCGTCGCTAAATAACATGTTTTTTTTATGAAGCTGCATCAGAGGAATTGGAAACAAAATAAAATCAGCCTTTATTTCCTGGTTATTTTTATTGCTTATTGTCGACATTCAGTGCGAAGATAAAGGTCAACATGTTTCATGGTCCGTTTCGTCTCTTAGGTCTGATTAGTCTCTGGTCTGGTCCCAGAGGCTCAGACTATAAAAATAAACCCATATCATGGTCAGGTCGACATCATCAGTATAACCAGAGGAGGGGGAGTAAAGAGTTGTTTTATGAAGAGTGGGGAAACACATTTAAAATATAATTATCTAGAGGCCAGAAAATGGTCGTGTCATATGGTTTAATAAAAATGACTGAATGCTGATGTATTCCCTTTATGGTCAATATAATCAGAGCCTCTATTCTAAAGTGTGCACTGGCTGAACAGCACTATTTGACCCAGTGTCAGGAGCAGTTGGATCAGACGTGGTGGATCGTGAACTTCCAAATGTGATGATGAAACATTGCATTATTATTTACACCATTACCAGCATTTTGCATGTATTGTATTGATGTTGGCCAGTCATCCGGTTCTGCTGGGGTGAAGTGGGGGCAGCAGTGAGTCATCTTGAACGTACAGTACAGCTCATGTGGTGTTCCTCTCTGCTTTAATACCCATATGAATGAAATACTATCCACACGCCAAATGTGGCTTAAAGTCTGTGATATTTTTAGGCTTCACAAAGTTGACTCACTTGTCAGGTCTCCAGAGACTCAGTAAATGCCTACAGATCCTGTTTACTGTGCCTGTTTCTCAAAATATCTTTGGTTAGAGCTTTGTCTTAATCTTTGTTTTTAGAATGTCTTTTTGTGGGGCTGAAGATTGTCTTATACTGTTCACAGTAGGTGTCAGTATAATGTAATTTAACCCTAACACTACTGTTGGGTTTTGGTCAAACATTGAGATTAGCAACAGTGGCCACCAGCTCATTAGAGTTTGAGACCCGCTACCAAACTAGTACTTGGTTGGTTTTAACAATAATCCTGTTCATTTATCTAACTGACCTGGATATATGACAGAAAGGCCTTGATTTAAAGGTGCAGAACTTGACAACTCCTGTTTTTTTTACAAATAGAAACAGAAAACAAATGCATTTTGTATTTGTTTTTCATGGTCTACTTTTACTATTGATAAAAATGCACAGAAAAGACTCACAGTGAATGACACTGCCTAAAGAATGGAATAGCTGCTTTAAATAAACTGTGAGGTGGGAAAGGACCAGGAACCAATTACAGCTGCACCAGCTTCTAAGTTATATTTTATAAATTGCAGTTTGAATTTTACACAGAAATTTTACAACAAAAATTGTGAAATTTTACAACAAAAAAATTGTGTAAAATTTTACAAAAAATATTTGTAAAATTTAACATGAAAAATGTGTAAAATTTTACAAAGAAATTTGTCTAAAATGTAGTTTGAATTATTACAAAGAAATTTGTCTAAAATGTAGTCATAAAATGTATGTCAGTCTATAATGTAACTGTGTGTAGCTGTTTTGGTTTTGTATATTGAATTGTTCTTTTAATTTAAAAAAAATATGTACCGTACATATTGCCTGTGAAAAAAACTACAGTTAGTACCTGAATTGAAGGGGGAGGAGCTCCATGTTTTGTTTTTACGATCAGTGACACACAATGCCTAAAATTTCTGAAATGAAAATGTAGTTTTTACCCGGATACCCTTTTGAATTCTGTCGACGTGCTCTTGTGCAGTTCTTTGCCCCTCCTGGTATTTGTCTTTGGAGTGCAGCTGAGACATCTCTGCTCTGCCAGTAAACAATTACGTATTAATCAGCAAATATTAATGAGCAGTTACAGAATGTGACTCCATCTTGACCTTCACTGACGCCGCTACAGTAGCCAGTAATGAGAACTCAACCAAATTAGACGCTCTGATTAGAAACCCCACAAATCCACGACTGACAAATAAACACCACTGATTGACTGATGGCTGTACACAACGTCTTGTTTATTTATTTATTGGTACTCATACAGTTTAAAAGTCACTTTTACTACGCTTTGTATCCAAACACTTTGAGATGAATCGAGTTGTCTCTAAAGGCAGACACTGTAACGGAACGTGACACCTGGAATACAGAGCAACACCTGGAATACAGTCCACTGGACTTAATGTTTGCTTTTTTTCTCTAAATTCCATTTAATTTCACGAGTAATTTAATTTGTTTTGAGGAGAAAAAAAAATAGGATTTTATTTGTTTGGAATTTCCAAAGAAAAAAGGAAATAAAAATGTCATATTCCTCAGACGACAGAGAATCGTCGGTTTGCCTCTGGTGCTGAGAATCGCTCTATTTTGCAGGAGTCGACTTTTTATTAAATAATGTTGTACAGTGGTGGAGAAGGAGAAGACACCATCGACACATTTGTGCTTATATTTTTAAGTTGAATTTTTTTTTTTTTTTTTGCTTAAGTTTCCAGTTTTTTTCAGTTAAATACCAGTTTTTTTGACATAACCGTTTCCACACAGACTAGGCAAAATCTGTTATAAGTTTTGTATACCAACATGCTCACAAAGTTTCTCAACCATTTTTTTTTTTTTTTTTTTGTGTCAGAACAACATACATCAAAAGAGATGACCTATGGTTTTCAGCAGTATGTGCCAGGTTTTCCCTGGTGATATCAGGATGTGATTTTTTTTTTCCTTGTGCTTCACAGGGTCAAAGGCGAGACAAAAACAGCTAGACTGGTGAATGTCAGCGACAGGGTTCACTTGCATGATTTGACTATAACTTCAGGAAATAACAAACAAAAATGAAAAGAAATCACACAGTAGCCAGGTACTCAAAAATAACAGAATTTGACAAAGCTAACATTAGTCGAGCCTTTTTTTTTTTTTCTTTTCACACTTTACAAAATATCAGAAGGACAGTTTTATCAAAACACATACATCACCTACAGTTCACTTCGTGGCCAGAAGATGAACTGAATATTGTCTCACATGCTGTAAAAGTGACGTCCAGATTGACAATGCAACAATATTTTCTTTGACTCTCACAATCATCCAGTTCACACAGTACATAGTGGCTGTCCTGTGCAATTGTTGATGCATTTATTTCTCCTTAAATACTTTTTCCTTTTTTTTGTCTTCATACATTGTGCAAAAACAGCTGTTGTCTATTCTAGAAGGCCTCTGGGTGTCTTAGTATCCACTCTGATCTTAAATGATTTTGGGTTCTACTCTAAATGTTTGTTCATCAGCAGAGCAAATCCACGTTGTGCTATGACTTAAAGTAAACATTTAACTTTTGAGGTGGGAAAGAAAACAGTGAGTTTTTAAACCAAAATTTAACCAGAAGAACATTTTGAATAAAAAAAAAAAGTGATTAATTCTAACATTTTACCTTTGGTTTAGACAAGGTTATAATTAAATTATAAATGTAAATATAATAATCCTAGAAAAATAGAAATTAATTAAAAGACTATGCATCACAAATAAAAATATCTGATTTTTTTTCCTTTTTTTTTTAAACACGATTGGATTTTTGTTCTACTCAGGTGATCAATGTTGTTGGTGCAGTGGTGAATTTTAAAACAGCCCACAAGGAGAATTCTAATACATTTTCCTGTAGCTCATTATGTTGAAGTAATATTGCTACTTTACAGTAACAGATAAAAAGTATTACTCGGGCCAGTAGTCAGACGGAGCTTTTATGCATCTAAATGGCCTGAACTTATTACTACAAGTGCAAGGCAACATGATCACTTTCTAATCGGACGCCATTGTGCATGTCTAACACAGTGATTTGCATTTGCATCCATTGTGCATGTCTAACACAGTGATTTTAAAAACATTGTCGAGTGTCGAGTTGGGCAACTTCTGTTTCCTCATTTCCATAGGGCAACCGTGTTTCCACAGTGATTATATATTTTATTTAATTATTGTTTTGGTTAACTATCATGAGTATAATTATAACTTTCTTGGCTGTTAATCTGCCAATCAAAATTGCCAACAGCTTTGTATAGTGACAGGATCAGAAAATAAAAGTATTTTAATGACTGGCCTTATATATTTTAACAATTTAGAGGGACAAACCAATTGAATGTGTAGTTGTAAAATATATGTTTTATCTTTAGCTGCACAGACCTGTGTGAATAGTACATTTTTGTGCCGTTTTGACTTGTCTTTAAATATTTCTCGTCTCTTATATTACTCTTTTTATTATTATTATTTCATGCTAGTTTACATCATAAACAAACAGTAGCTAGCCTGACTTGGACTGGGTCGGACTCTTGTCATTGAAGACCACAGACCTGGCTAACTGAAAAAACATGTTCTACAATGTATATAAACAGCTCCAGTTAAAACTTAGAGAAAGTAAAAAAAAAAAAAAACTAAAAAGAAAGTTTGAAGTCAGCACTCTCAACCATAGTTTAATTTGGAATCCAGCGCCCTGGAGAAAAGATTGAAAAGCTGAGCGAAAACAATAACGGCCCTAACGCTTTTTGATTGTGCAGCACAGTAACTAAAAGCTGTGTGGTCACAGATGAAAAGTTCCAAGTTCTGAACACACTTTTTCTTGTTGGGTTTTTTTTTTGTTAATAAAACCAACCTTGGGATCTCGAGCACTAACTGGCTCAGACTCTCTCTGTTGGTGAGTCTAAAACAAGGGTTAGGGCTGTGTGCTGTCGTCCCTCATCTGTGGTGGCCTATGAATGATCCAAGTATAACAGTAGTGTCAGTCTGCTGCGTCACCATGAAGAGTGGATTTGTATGTTTCACACTAGGAGTATAAAACAGTGTTGTGGCTGGGAGTGATTCATGGTATTTGTTTACCTCTGCTACGTACAAAAGAGAGACTCGCAATCCAACTGAAACTGAAGAGATAAATCACTCCGAAATGAAAACATCATATTCCGACAATGTAGAAAAATAAGACGTATCCATGGTGTTGACGTGAGGGAGAAGGCTGTCATGTATCCAGAAACCTATGGCAACCCTGTTGGGTTCTACTTGCTGTCATAGCTGTAGCCGTCGTATCGCTGCATCATATATTAGTGGAACGGTTTCACAACCCACGAAGCGCTTCTTTCACAGAACGCACACTTGGAGAGAAACGCGGGCGTGGAGGGAGGGGTGGTATTTGTTATTCTATATTATTTCAAAAGACCATGGGATAGAAAAATAAGGGTAATAAAACATTCCGTTGTTTTCTTATTAACAACGGGGACCTCTTGAGTATAGTGATCTTTAAATATGATAGAGAGAGAGTTTGATTTTGGTGTGCTCTGACTGTCTTCAACTGTGTACTGAAAAAGCTGCTTGTTTATAAAGTATTTGATAAGCTATGTTTACTATAGGTTTAATAACATGTCGACACAATTTGATTCCATCTATGGTGAATATTATCATCTATACACTGTCACTCTGTTACAGTCATAACCGAGTGATTTACACCACTGTTTTTTTTTTGTTTTTGCTAAATGCTATCTACTGTACCACACCATTCATTAATACCTTATATTGCACCTGTGATTAACGAACACATTTACACTTAAGCATCTATTTCAGCTACGTCCTCCCATACAGACCTAAACAACAAAAACAAAACAAAAAATGTTTACCACAAGCTCTTGCATCAGCATGCATTCTATTTGCTTACATCACACACACCTTAAAATCTGATTTAAGCATTGTGAAGCTTTTTTAATCCGCTATGCTATGTTCTGTCATTTCACACAAATCCTCTCCTAAAACAGAGATTGCGATTCCAGTAACACTAGCTGTAAAATAAACAATTATCAGTTTTTGTCATCACGAATTTGTTTATCGTCGTCGATCCTTCGAGCGTGCAACGTGGAATAAACTCTGCGTTATAGTCTTCTGATCGTATATATATATATAATCTAAAAAGTGCTTAAAATCACTGACAGCCAGTCTGGTAGCAGATCAAACTCCCTGTTTTATTGCCCTGTGCTGCGTTTTGTATGTGATGCCACGCCGCAACCTTTTCTTCTGGCTCTGACGGAGCGTGAATAACTGCAAATGAATACAAAAACATCAGTTGGGTTTCAGCGCATACACAACCTGTCCTGGTCCGTCACTCCTCGGGCTCCATTAATAAATGTAAACAAGAGCCTGAGTTATTGGCTCTATCAACACACCCTGTCATCAATAACTATCGATCGGCGTGTCATGGTCGGCGTAAGACGCATCAGTCGAGCTGGACAGCGAAAAAGCTAGCAACGTTGCCCCCTGTTGTCTCTGTATTTACTGCCGATCCAATATTGAGCACGATTACCTCTGGCCCCTCTGATATGATCGTCTCGAGTATTTGTGTGTGTGCATGTGTAATGGAATAAGCTCAATGTTTGATATAGTGGGAAAAGTGTGCGTGCGGTTGTGTTGAATCAGGACTTTTCTTTATTGAACCTCAGTATTTCCCAGTGGTTTGGCTATCAAATCAAACCCTTCACTCTTCCTCCCCTACAGTAACCAGGGTATTGCTCTACATCAAGCCGACACAGCGAAATCAATGCAACGCACGGCAGTCTGATTCAGTGAGGGGTGTGTGTGCAATATCATTATATTACAAGAAGAAAATTAATTGAAGCGCTGATAAAAAAAATGAAATGAAAAATTGTACATCTTCTGCTCAGAGGTCCACACATGTTGCCAAAAAGAAAAGTAATTGACCCAGATGTTTACACTCCCCCAGCAGCCAGGAGCTCTGAGTTTATTTATAGTGAGAGCACTATCGGGACAGCATGCATTATTAATAGGTTCAGATGCGTATTTGTCTGTGACCTCCAGGCCACCTGGTTGTGAATACATTCAAGCACATAAAACACTCATTTTCACACAGTAAATCACCAGTTGTCTTTGTGGAGAGAAACCATAACTCCTGTGCTGTTTGGTCAGGTTCGGAACGTCAGCGATAAAGGACCGCGTGTGACGCCGGTGTCTGTGTGAGTCCTAGCATGGACGTGTGAGTCGCCAAGGCGGTTTGAGTCGGTTTGATCAGTTCTTGAATAACCTCTTTGTCCTCATTGATTAGTCCTTAGGGGGTAAGGTACACACAATAATCCTACATACTACGTACACACACATCCCCATGTCAACAGCTTATTCCAACCTAACAAAGAGTAGCAGTTCAGGAGTCAGGCTTGTTGTTGTGGTTCATGTTGTTTTGTTTGTTTTTTCTTTAACAGACTAAGAATTGAAAATTGTAAACTGATCCTTGGCCTCGTATTTCCTCCGTTTCCTCCGTTCCCGGGCTCAAAGCCGGTACTTTCTCAACAGGTCGGCCTGCCACATGTACTTCCGCTCAGGGAACCTCTCTGGGATCTTGATCTTCTGAAAGTCTTGAATGCACTTTTCCAGCTCCTCCTCCACTGTCATCTTCTCTTTCGTCTGTCGTTTTTTGCCGCTGCTACTCGTGTCACGGGAGCTCGCCGTTAGCGTGCGCATCAAGTCGCTCTTGCGACGGTGTTCTGACTGCTGAAGCATAGCAACTGGGCCCTTTTTCAGGGGCCGGTCCAGAGTTTGGACGTTGGTGTGGTGCGACTGGCGGCTGACTGGTCCACAGATGACCGTTCCCTGTGGAGACCCGGCCTCTGATTGGCTTTCAGAGCTGGAGGTGGAGAGCTCATTAAAGGAGGTGCCACTCTCGCCTTCGCCGTCACCTTTGTGGTTCTTGCAGCAGCAGTCACATGGAGGGGAGGACCAACGTGACGGACCACCTGGACAGAGACAGAAGGAGAGGGAACGTGAGATTCTGATGCAGCGTTATTTTTCATTTCCTGTCATTTCAGAGAAGAAAATGAGGCAGAAACACGGACAAAGGCTCAAATTAGTCAACGAGAATGTGTGAACACGCTACAGACACAGACAAAAGTCAACTGAAGACAGCTGACTGTGGTCCAGAACAAAGACGCGACATCGGCGACAAATAGGTTTGCTTCCAGACTAATAATGAAAGAAACTTTTTTTTTTGGACTGAGACAAGACTATATGATTTGAAGTAACTACTCACACATCCAGGCTGTCTCATGAAGAAATGTAAAAGAGCTAAAAAAAAAAAAACCTTCTGGAACCACAAAGTCTGGATTTGTGAACATCTTCAGAACAGCATTGAAAACTGATCATTATTTAACTGCAGAAAACAGGGGGGAAAAAATCGTACTTTTATAAACTGCTGAGGGAAGGGAGGCATGTTTTTATATCAAATGTTCTTATACGTTAGAAATTGTGTGGCATTTGACCAAACTTGTCGTCGTTTGACTACACAGATTCAGAAACAGTAAAACAACACTGCATTTCTCACTGCAGGGACCAGACATTTATATTTCATGCTAAACTCCTGAGCGGCTGAATAATTGAAGTGGAATCCAATGCTGATGGACTCCTCTCCGTTTAGTGAGGAAGACAGATCAAAACCCCGGGGGGAAACACACGTGTGATGCTCACCAGGCATGCAAGTAAGTGCCCTGCCCCATATGCCACACACACACACACACACACTCATAAGCACGGCCTCCATCGTTTCCATGCATCTTCTATTCATCAAGTTCAGTAGCGGCGCTGTTTCTTTTAATGTGCAGCGGAGCGTCTCTCCTCCAATGAGATAGCACGGGACTATAAATAACACTACTTAAAATAAATGCCTGCCTGCTTTTAATACACTTTGTCCTCATATTTAGAAAACCAACAGAGCAAGAAACACTCCATCCAACTATCCAACTATACAGAGCAAGAAACACTCCATCCAACTAATGCTCGTTGGTCCAAGTACCACCGGTTTATTACTTCCACTTCCCGTGAATACACTTTGTTCATGTGTAAACAGAAGGCGCGACAGTAGTCAAATGAACGACTTTGACACTGATGACGTGTGGAACCAGGGAAACAGGAAGTTAATGCATCCACTGCAGGAGTAAATATACACACACTCTGACAAACAAACAAAGTCTTATTCAGCCGCCTTCAGTCGTGTGTTGCCCCAACCATCAACAGCCAGAAGCGGTGACAGATATGGGGCGCTCGCGTCAGTGATGGATCTCTGATTATCCCCGTCGTCACCGGCTTGTACTTGGAGTACATGCACGTTTTCATGCAAATTTAAAGTTCAGGACACACTGTTTATCCCTGGGACGCAGCACAATTAGAATCATATAGACAGGGAAACACAACCTTCATGATATGTGCCGCAGTGTCTCCTCTCATACCTCTGTAGAGGGACACGAGTTCATAAACGTCAGACTGTGGAGTGGGGAGCTCTCTGATTGATGAGATGCAAACTCAGAGTTGGTGTTGTGACAAATGGCCCAGACTTGGGTGAATTGTTAATACGCCTGTCTTCATAAGCAGAGGTGAGGATGGGAAGTGTAAAGCCACTGTGACAAACGTCTTTAGAAGCACTGCTTAATATGTGTGTGTGTGTGTGTGTGTGTGAGAGAGAGAGAAAGTGTGTGTCATCTGATATATGGCATTTAGAGTGAATTTTTCAGATGCCATAAGTCTGACCATAATAATAAAGAGGCTTTCACAAGTTTCCATTAGCTAAACTAAAGAATTCTGGTACGGACATCTTTTATCATTTTGACCAATCAAATTTCCTGAAACGCATTTCTCCAACATTCGTCCTCGGTGCCACTGAGAAACAATTTAAATGAAGACACTGTTTACAGGGAGTTCAAAGTCTTCAAAGTTTTTTTTTTTTATTATTAGCAGCTCCCTAAGTGTTGTCTCTACCGCCGCGTACACACTTTGACTTTAATTAGCTTCCCAAATAGATTTATCAGTATGCAGCGTTGATGCGTTGTAACACATCAAGTTACATTAGTAAAACCGATTTCCCTTGATAAGCAGAGGTGGAGGAGACACTGTGAATGTGCAGCAGTGATTTGTTACTCTGTAAATGATTTAGTCACATCCTGTTAATTGAGGGGAAAAAATAGACAACGGTCCATGTTGGGATTGATCCATAACTGCTGAGATAAAATCACCAGACTTTCTAAAGCCATTTTGCGAAACCACAGTCGGCTGACGCATCGTGGCAGCTCGCTCCGAAGCTTTGTGATTTATTCTGCCAAAGGTGCAGTAATTAAAAGTCACGATTTTGGATTTTGAAGGCCTGAAGCTGCTCTGCACAAACTAATTGATTTCAATTATGCAGAGGAGGAATGACCTATATTGTTAATAAATGGCTCAGAGATGCCTATATTCATGACCAAGGTGAGCTACTGATGTTTTTCTTCTTCTTCTTCTTCTTCTTCTTCTTCTTTGTTCTTCCCATAAGATCAACTTTCCTGCATCATGACTGAGCAGTCGTTTTAATTGTGGTACTGTTAAGTTTTTGGTGTAGCATGTTGTCTGGTACAGCTAATTAGGTTCTGAGGATTTAGGAAACTCTTGCACACATGTATAATAATAAAAAAAAAAAAAAAATTAAAAAAAACCCTCATTTTCCCCAAAAAAAAAAAAAATTAAAAAAACCCCTCATTTTCCCCGAAATGCACCTTTTTTCAAGAAAGTAACAGATCCCCCGAGTTCTTAGGTGGAAAAAGTGGAAAAAATCACATGAGCAGTTTTGTATTTGAACGAAAGCATTAATGTAAAATATAACTTGAATTAAAAGGAGGTCCTTCATAGCCTGGGCACCAATGTTTTCATTGGCAAAGTGTCATTGCTTCTTTTTGTTGGAGACTCTGTTTAAACTTGCTCTCCTTGCGACAGTCTCTCATTAAATGTTACTTTTATGACCTCTTCTGAAAATATCCTGTCATTTTCACTTGATAAATGTTCGTAAAGATGACAAAATTAAGTTTAAGTAATTCATTCCATTTGAAAGAATCACCTTTTCGAGACAGGGGACGGTATTCCGCAAAGATCAAAAAGCAAAGATCACTTCTTTTTCATCACTATGACAGATTATGATTAAATAATTCACTCATTTACAATGTCAGTTGGTGATTTATTGATTAATTCCGCCAAAAGAACTTTCAAAAGCATCTTGTGTTTTTCTCTCAGTCCTGCCCACGTACATTGGTGTCGTTTCAATCACAGCAGGAGAGGAGGGTAAAGTGCTGGTAAAGTGGTCTGAGCTCTGACTGGTTCCTTTGGTTACATCATGCTGTCACGTCATTCAAGCGACACTTAATAAAGTTTGAATTGTATAATTATAAAGTTTTTTTCTTGATTTTTCTTACTGCTGTTCCTCAAACCTGGCTTTTTAAACCTCGTGTTAGCTTAGGTGACCTGGTTTGTTTTGGTGGGTTGCAAATAGGTTTACAATTTCAGATGACTTGTACATGATGACTTGTTTCATCACAGCATGTCTGCTGTGTACTTTCTGTCTAACTCTACACCAAGTATACAGAACTGTGACATCCTTTGAGTGAAAGGTCGAACTTCACTTTGATGGCACGTGCGTGCATGCATGTGTGTGAGCATGTTTGAGTGTGTTTTCTGTACTTGGAGCGTAATGTGTGAGGTGATGTGAGAGCCAGATGTAGGTCAGTGTGCGTGAACCGCTGCAGAAACCTTTTCCTGTCCATATGGTACTGAGAGCGTAGGTGTGCACGTGTATGCCTGTGGTGACACCTCGGAGGTGACAGCTTTGAAACTATAACCCAGTTGCCGTCTTCAGAGAAAGGGAGCCTATAGTCAGGTGGGTTTCCTTCCTTGTCATCAGGAGGGTCAGAGGGTTGGCTGTGCCTCTGGCCACCATCGCTCCATACCCACTGTCTTGTTTTGCTGTGTGTGGGTGTCTGTGTGTATGCTTCAGTTGATTCATCTGAACTCCTGTTGTTTCTCCTCCAGGGCGAAGGAGCAGTAGGTCTGAACAAGATCTAATGACAAAAATAAAAAATAACAAATTTGATGGAAAAAAAAACTACTGTCCCTTGTTTGTCCCACAATGAGGAAATTCATAGTGTGATTCTAGGAGGCTCCATAAAATACAGTATATAGGTCCTCTGGGGCTCAAACCCTGGACCATCTGTGTGTAAGGCAGACGTGTATATATATATATGTATATGTGTATATATATATATATATATGTATATGTGTATATATATATATATATATATATATATTGGGTTCGCAGATCAGACTTTAAACTATTAGCTTAATAAATAAATAATTGAATTGTATTGTGATTATATTTCTGTGTTTAATTAGCAATGCCCACATTTTCCCTATAGAGGGCGTAGAGAAGGCTAAAAGCATTTTAGCATTTTAGCCTATATGTAAGACTGTAAGTTCACACAAAGGCTCCAGCTTTCTGCTCTTGACCCAGCCGCCATTTTGTGGCCCGCGAGTCAAAAAGTTTGCCAACGCCTGCTCTATAGTGTAAAGAAATGTGTTTCTCTTCTGATGTGGTGTTCTGGTTTATAACATTTTTTGTCTTTTTAATATTTTATGATCTCAATCTGACAAATGTTCTTACGTTTGCATGCATTTCTCTCCTTTCCATCCTAATCTCTCTCTCCCCCTCTCTCTCTCCTTCTCTCCACCTGTCCGGATGCATATATCGATAGCTGAGCGCATCAGTGGGAGTGTATGGACGATTGCCCTCTGATTGATTTCTGTCATACAGCGTCTCACCACTGGGCGGTTGTTCGGTGTAAGATAAATGATGTTGGCACAACAGAAATGAAAAATAAACCTCGTCAATCTATCACCCCCCAACCCACCCTCTCCCACCTGAACTCTGCTGCCGGTTCCACTCCCTATACCGCTTCTCCTCCCATCTTCCTGCCTCTCTGTCAGTCTCTCCCCCTCAGATCAAGGTTTTTGCTCTCCATTAGTGTCTCTCTCAGTTCATTCCTTCCAGCTGTCAGTCTTCATTTTCCGTCTCCGTCTGCCCTGTCAAACAGCCCTTAGAGAAGTCGATACGTGTCAGATTAATGGAAATGCAAACCTGTTCACAAAGTTCACATTATGGCCACAATCCTATTCCTTTGTCTGTCGAGTTTAGATTAAAATGTCATAAATACAACATATAGTCTTTAATATAGTTATGCATATTTATTGATTGTAAAAAAGAGCAGTGGTTTGACCTTGATGTTCAGTGTGGTCCCTGACTTCAATTGATTTTATTCATGATCCTTAAGAAATCCCACCGAATTGATTTTATTCATGATCCTTAAGAACAACAGAATTCAAATCCCACCCTCTTTATTCTGCCCATCTGAACATGCGATGCATTCAGTAGTTGGAAAGTAAAAAAATGACATTATGTCCAGTTGGTTTAACCTAAATATTCCTTAATCACATTGAAGTGCAATGAATGTTCTAACTCAGTGGTTCTCAAACTGTGGTATGTGTACCAGCAGTGGTACACAAACACTCTTTAGTGGTACGCAGGGAAAATTCATATTTTCACATTTACATTTTCAACTGAATAAATCTGAAACATACCATGTACAATTAATACAACGGATGGGGCCAGCGCTTGTTTACATCGGAAATAATT